AATTCTGTCATAGATTCCGGAGCTAGAGTCGCTTTCTATAAAGAGGTGTATAACATCAGAAATATACAGCATTTTGTTGCCGGTTCTTGCCAGTTTATGAGCCCCATAGGGATGCCGTCCCTTCACAAGACAGGCTGGCGTGACGCAAAGTTGGGCTCACAACACCTCATATGGTGGGCTAGTTTTTCTCTATTTTAAACTATGACAGAACTTTCCTCCCATCCTAGTAGTAAAGATAAGGCGGATTACAATTTGAATGCGTCTTGTTCAATAAAATAGTTAGCAAGCCATAAAGCCGTTACCTAACTCCAAACCATCGCTTCGAAGGCTACTTCGTACTTTTGAAAGACGTAGTAGACCCTTTCTTAGCAACTCGGGACAAGATAGCGCTGATTTTTGTTTCAGCCAAAATTTCCGGCCTGTTTGTCCAGTACTGGGCGATCCAGCTTTATATCAATGAAACTATTCACATCTGCACTACTGAAGAAATGTAACCTACCCTTTGTGATCTACTTACCCAAAATTCTACAAAGTACCCCGTTAACACATTCAGGACCGCGCGTGAGACACATGGTGTGTCAGATCTTTATAAGCTGAAATTTCCTATGTTTTGACCATTGCGCGAACTCTTTGAGTTATTATATACCGGTGTAAGTTTCGATAGTTCATTTGAAGACATTCTTCTAAAGTGTAGCCAATTCACAAAACCATCATGCTCTAGAAATCGCATCGCACAAAGAACGATTTGCTGATGGAATAAGCTACTGAGGTCATTCAGTGTTCCGATGACTGACACACCGATGATCGACTAGTGACTGTGATACAGTCTCATACTCGCGTCCGCTCCATTTGGCGCCAGTTTGTTGTCGCGGCCTTTTTCAGCGAATCGACTTCAGAAAACAGGCGTTTGAGGGGTGATCAAGGATACTAATCACAAAAGTGACATTCGTACTTGAAGCTGGCCCCATTTAGCGCAGTTTAGCGCCAGTTTAGCGTTATGACATCCTTCGCCGAAATCGAAAGGATGCATTTGATGGTTACGAGGTCTCCAATTACAAGTGTCTTCAATGGTGACGCCACGCGCCACTACAAGACGTCAGTTAACGTTATGAACATTCTTCATCAAATGATGTCAGCTTACGAACCAGAATAAATGCATATATAACACGTTCGCGGCGGCGCCGTTTCGTCAAAAACTCCCGTTTGTCGAGCGACGCGTTCGCGGCGGGCGACACTTAGGCAGTCATCCCGTTCATGGTTGCGCGCTCGCGACGGAACCATAAACGCCTAAAAATTCACGAAAGCCGTTTTTCGCCATTCTTTTCACATTTTCCCCTTCTACAAGTTTTATCTAAGTTTCGGTAAATGAACTAGCTTTCTTGCCCTTTTTGATGTTCACTGGTACCGCACAAAGGGGATGTAGACTTTGATTCTTGTGAAAGTTCTTAGTTCCTCTTGTAAAAACCACTACTGCCTCACCTGGTTCCAAAAAATACACGAGAAATGTTCTTAGTATTACTTGTATATTATTTGTTTTATGATTTGTTCATAATTGCCAGAAAAAAAATCGTCAAAAAGGGGCGCGTGTACTCCCAAGAATGCACGATTCGCCTAAGAGGAAAGTTTTTGAGTATTTTTCCAGGTATACACGCCTCTTCTAATGTGTGGATATTATTTCTCTATTGTTTGATTATTATTTATATCCAATTGTTAGTGGGAAAAGAAAATAAAATACAAAAAACCAGCGAATAGGCGCGTGTACTCCCGGGAGTACACGATTCGCCGAAAGCGGAGTTTTTTCGTGTACTCCCGGGAGTACACGCCGCCCCGAACGTGATAATATTCGCGTTTCGTTCCCATGAAATTAAATGAAGATAAAAAAATGAATTTCATATACACGAAACCGCCATCGCTGAATACTCCCAAATGCAAAGTAACGTCAATTATGCAAAAAAGGATCGGTGGCGTCAAATTGGCGCTTGGTGGCGCTAAATGGCGCCGGCTTATTCGTGATTGAGATGTGAAATAACCCCTATGTACGAATTTTCAGAGTGAAGTAACCAGCGAGAAAAAAAATCGCGACTGAAACCTGCCCCGTGTGGCCGCGTGACACACCATGTGTGTCACGCCAGCCTCACATTGCAAAAGGCCATGGTCACATGTGAACGCCGCGCGAAATAGTCGTCGGTGCGGAACCATTAGCTGGCTAGCAGGAAGTCTCCCGCAGGTATAGCTCCTGTATCTTATTCATTTTTCTTTTTGAGGTGTACATGAAGCCCAGCGATCGAATAAGAGAGTCACTCACATTTGAACCAGTCAATATAGCTCTATAGGTGACAGCTGAGAGTCGATCTCGAAATATAACAATAATGTAGCTGCTCGTGTAGGTAAACCCAGAGACGAGGGCTTGGAATATTTCCAGTGGTAGCAATAACCGTAAAACAGTGTCGTTCTCACGGATCTGATACGATATCGTCAGATTGAAAGACTTTCTGAACTATTCGCTTTTAAACAATGGAAGTATGCGATGACAAGTAGTTTGGAAAGTATAGAGAATCCCGTGAGTGGGAACTTATTGTCAAATTACTCCAAGGGGGGATGGGTTACAAACTTCGCGTTCAAAGACAGCTTGCATCTCCAGGTCTTATCCCGGAACACATTGTTTCCTTTCATTATGAGCTCCGAAAGATATCGCGGGAAATCTGAAATTGGGTTTTCGAACTCAGCCAAGACTTGAACCCTCAGCTTACTCATAGACTAGCAAGGAGTACAGCGTAAGATTGAGGTCGGTGTTCTGACCCCCGAGGCCGACGTTTTGAGCGATTATATTAGGTTGTCCGGAAAGTTCTCAGCGTTTTGAGGTGTTTCACTTTAAACGATCATAACTTTTTTAATACTCATCGGATTTAATCGAAATAAGCACCGTTCGGAGGCGGAGATGGTGTAGTGACAAGTGGGGCGCTCACCATTCGCGCGGTCCCGGGTTCGAATCCCGGGTCGACTCCCGCCCAGGCCAACCAAGCCTTCTACCCTCCGGGGACGGTGAATTGGTACCAGATTCGTCTGGGAGGATAAAACACTGACTTGTACATCGGCTGGCCACCGCAAGTCATTGTATAGGCCACATCGCATTCAATAAGCCACTACGATTCTGAATGGAAGTAGAATGCGTGCCGCATCCCACAAAGGGATTGATCAACGGCGAAGACTTTATCCTTTTATCCTTTAAGCACCGTTCGAATCAGCACACTTTTGACAATGTGAACCAGTCGAGAAATCCCATCAAAATAAAAAACTGGGTGGTCGAGAAATTCACGAAATCCACGAAGGCTTTTTTGCCTGGTCCTGATTGATGAAGTATTTTCCAGCAAGGGAGTTCTGAAAATGTTAGAAAAGGTGATAGTCGGTTGGCGAAAGGTCTGAAGAATATGGCGGTTGAGGTAGAACTTCAACCCCCAATTCGTTCAATTTATGGATAGTGATTTGTGAAACGTGTGGGCGGGCGTTGTCATGCAAAGGAATCGTCGATTTCTTCACAGTAGGGTTCTGCTGTGATGGTTTGGCCTGGTGATAAAAAGTTATAGTGGATCACACCAGCCGATGACCACCAAGCCGTGACCAGAATCTTTTTTCGTGAGGGTTCGGCTTTGAAAATTACCTCGGTGGTTCGTCGAAATCCAACCACTGTCCGGAACGTCTCCTGTTATCATACATGACCCATTTTTCATCACAGGTGACAATTCGGCCCAAAAACAGGTCGTTTCTGCTGCGCAAAAGCAATGCAGAAGGAACCTCGAGACGTGCCGATTCCTGCCGGTCACTCCGATTGTGGGGCACCCAATTGTCGAGTTTTTTCACCTTCCCAATGCGTTCCAGACCATCTGCAACAGTGGATTTGCCAAGGCCTAGCTCTTCTGCTATCTCTCGAACTGTTTGGGATGGGTCAGCCTCCAAAATCCCCCTAAAATCCTCGTCAGATATTGCTTTAGGTCGACCGCTATGAGGTTCATCTTCAAGGCTGAAATCTCCAGAACGAAATTTGTTGAGCCATTGCCGCACAGTGCTTTCTCTAGCACTATTGGGCCCCCACACCTGGTTAATTTGTTGAGCTGTTTCGATTGCGGATTGCCCCAATTTATAGTCGAAGAAAAAAATCGTCCGAAGTGCTCTTTTCACATGCTTGAAAAAATCTTGAAAAAAGGGGGTTTATCAAGCAATGGTGAAACGGCAATTATACCATCAGATAGCGCAAGAAATTCTCTACAGGATGTGCTACTGAGAAGCAAGGCAGAATGAGTTTTTAATCAGCAGTGAATGTACAAAAAATAGGTGCACAAAACGCTGAGAACTTTCCGGACAACCTAATAAAACAGTCCTACAGTCGCCGTAATTGAAATGCTAAAATTTTGTCAGCACTCGATCGTCGAGTAAAAATAATTTTTCTATTAAAACCTCAAAATCAGACTAAACAGCACACAATTAAGGGCTGTTCGGTTTGATTTCGAAGTTGTATAGCGGGCTTTTAATAAGCTGTTATTAAATTGAAAACGAAACGTTTTTGCTTCTTTTGTGCCGCTCAAGCTTCTTTTAATCAAAGTTCTTGCAAATTCAAGAGAAAATGATTTCAGTTCGTAACCCCTTCAGCTCATACAGTTGTGAAGAACGAGAACGAGGAGCAGGAGGGAGGAATAGGGTGAGATTTGTCTGGCGACAAGGGCTGAAAACAATGATACCGTTTCTTCGCGAAGCTGTTGAATATAATTAGTACTGCAATGGTGAATAACGTCAAAGCAGACACTCCTGACGACGCGAATATCAGCATGGTCATCTTTTTCGTTGTATGTGCAGTAACAGGGGAACAGTAAGCATAGCTTTGCGAAAAATCCTCGTCACTCATTGCCCAAATACACGATAGCAGAGAGAGCAGAATCTGAAACATCCTGTATTTAGCGATGTTCAAACAGCACAGGTGCAATTCAGAAGTTTTTTTTTCAAAAAATGTGCATTCTGCAAGCCTCGCAAGCTTATTGCAAAAGGAACTCCATAGAAAACAAGAGGAGAGTAGCACCGCTGTCTCAGAGATGCAAAGCAACCCTTTTGAAGGCAATATGGCAAATATAGAAGTTGGTTATTCGGTCCTAAAATTGTGCAAGGCCGCTATATTGCGCTGAAATGGCGAAAACTCAAATGGTAAATGGTCAAAAACTGTGGAAGAAGCCTTCGTTCTTCATGACTCAGACGGCAATTTCGGACGAGTTCCCCGTAGGCATCGTGCCAAGAACTGCTGAGGTGGATATGGCTGCCAGTATACATTCAACCGCGCACGCTTCAAGCCAATCCCTTCGCTTCATATTGTACTTCACGAATGAAGCGATACGATCATTAGCATCGCTCGGATATTCGGACGGGCGGGTGCGGAGGGCGTCCGTCGGCATGTAGCAGCTTGCACAGCAGAGCACAACTATGACACCTTTTTGGGAAAGGCGTTACGCGGGTGCTCAGAGGCGATGAATTCTGTCCTGCTAAGCATATTGATGCTACACGTCTTGGGGACTTATCGTGCCACTTGCCTTTGATCATATTCTCATACCGGAGAAGGGCACGCTCTTGCTGGATGCGGTCTCAGGTTACTTACTGTGGTCACCGGACTTCTCCACCAATAGCTAAGTGTCCCCTCAGCCTCGCCTACACCAAATATGTACTTGGCAACGATTCGTTGGCAACAACAACTCGTTTAGCTCTGCGTACAGGTTTTATGAAGTAGATGAGTTTGTGATTAGAGGCCATCCGATCACTGTATGTAATGGGTGATGTTTTGGCATTCAGTAGCTCAACTACTCATACGGCAGAGGAAGGCATAATTAGGGCAAGTCCTGCCTGCATGAGAAGTGGGTCTTCCCCCACACGCCGACCATTTGGTCTCTCCCTAACTTCATCTGCCAAACCGTTGCTCAGTTTCACCCATACTCCCCATTTCCTGGGGTATTCCGGATGCGTTTTGAAAACTTTTCCTTGGCACCGTTCACTTTGGCGAACGCCCCACCCACTTGTGGGTGTCTGTCTCTCATTTTGTCCGCCACTGATTGCTTATCGTTTCCCACGTTTTCCACCTACCGGGATCTTCTAGAACCGAATTACGAATTTTTGAAAGTTTTGTAGCGAGCACCGCCCACCTATAGCACGCCCCCCATCACGGGTGTGACTCCCTCATTTCGTCCGCCAACTGATTGCCTATCATTTCCCTTCCGAGCTGTTGGAACCAGTATGAATTTTTTAAATAAGTAGCTCACAACTGTGCGCATGCCCCGCCCACAGTGGGCGGGCTTAGCTCAGTTCATGTGTGTTCCGTACATCTTGGCCCATGCCCTACCCAACCCACCCTTGACCCGCCCCTCCAACTGGCTCTTCAGGTGATTCCGAATTTCCGGACAGACAGACAGACAGACAGACAGACAGACAGACGTTGCCGTTTATATATAGTAGGACATATGAGTATATATAAAACTTGCTCTTCTGACACAATTTCTCTTACGTATCCCCATCCTACCTGCCGTGCACATAAATCTCCTTTTTACTGCCACTCCTCTGAAGAAGTTCACCAGTTTTTCCCTAGGGTAAGTAGTGGTTTACAGCATCAATGAAAAGAAATGTCAAAAACCGACGTTATTTTTCTCAAAGCCAATACGAACCTCGTTTCCCTTCTACGACCAAACATGACCCTCTCGCTAGGGATCCCTAGCTATGAGGTGCTCTGGGCATAATGCACAAGAACTTTGAAACCGAAACTTGAGCGGTGCTGGTAAAGCAGTGTTATTAGGCTCTCCTTGGCCCTTTTCCCCTTATCCCCTTCGACGGGGGGTGGGCATCTTTGTGAATTTTTGTCGTAGCAGTGGTACGAACGATATCAACGACATAACACCAGTTTCATTTAAGTGGCCATCGTGGTGGTTTAACACGGCGATAATTTGAAGTTTGGTTCAGTTCTGCCGCCTCCCTAGTGTTGTGCCAACCGAAGCTCAGACGTTATTTTGTCACAGGTTCAGTTTTATATCGCGTTCTCCGTTTTTTTTCAACATTGGGTTTCCTTGGATGACGCAAAGCGACGATTGGTGAGCCTGAAGCGGCAGGATATCGCTTGCTGGCATAAAATGAGCAGGTCCGGGAAACTCATCCAGGAGTAGGGTGCCATGTCCTTACGTAGAATATTCTCCAAATTCCTTCTCCTGTTTTCCTATGTATGTACATAAAATGCACACTCTAAGTCTTTGTTAAGGCTAGTCGCGATATGACAATCGCGAGCTGTTTTCTCTGAAGGCATATCGCAAACGACGAATTGGTGGCTTGACTGAAAAATGCTAGCCAGGGTGCTATATAGTCGGGGAAAAAGTGCGTCGAAAAACGAAAGCTGAAACGGTAGGCGCCTGCCGAAGAAAGAAGCCTTCGTGCTCTCAGGGATGATTCAGAGAGGAACTTTGGCGAGTGTTCGCGATAGGCCAATCTCCAATACCGCAATAGATACGGTGCACGTATTTACTCAGATTTCTATGCAGCACCGCGGCCACTTCATATCAGTCCCTTTACTTCATATTGTACTTCACAAATGAAGCATCAGGTTCAGTCTCCGTCCATGGTTGTGGGTGTGGGGCGTCCCGGATCCTGCATGTTTCAGTCTGGAGTAGCTATATCATACTTCCCTTGGAAAAGATGCTACTCAGTGCCTGCTCAGGGGCGCGGAATTCTACCCTGCCAAGCACATTGATCCTACTGTTTTGGGGATTCATCGACTGGCTACGCCCTGCCTTCACATGAATATTAACAGTTTGCTTGCTTTCGTATTTGGGCTCGTGCAACGAACGAATTCTCGTCGACGATGGTTCCAAGAATCGATCTGGTTTGTCTAGGAGTGATACATGAAAATCGTTACACGGTGCAAATCGTGAACTTACCGTTACAATAACAAGTACAATTCCAAGCTTGGGTCCGAATGAATCGTAAAACGAGCGTTTCCAGAGTGCAATGGCACGTTCGACGACCATGGCAAACTGCAAAGCAATGGAAATGAGGAGTTTTGATAAGATCAGCATGATTCGTTAACAAACGGTGTTTGCATTGAACCTGCTGGTGCTTCAGACCGTTTAGGATAGTTCCCAGGACAGTTTGATCAGAAACGTTGGTAATGGGAGTGCCTTATTCAGCAAAGGGAACAATCAGTGTGCACCTCAAAAAGAACGGTTGTTGATTCTGGCCATTGCTCTCTACCGCGGCCACACCTAGAAAGCGAACGTGACGAATTGAAAGGTGTAGTGTGAGTTTCGACTTTAGCCAAACACAGACTGCAAGGTTAAAGACAGCCCCCGCGCTCGAGTCGTCCTTCCTTGTGCAAGTAGTACAGCCCCCAAGCTAGAGACTGTCCCACTCTATTCGTCTGCACAGCGAGCGAGAAGCGAGCTACAGCCGCTGTAAGTTCTAGCCTGCTCAGTTGGACCGCCTTACTTGCTAGATGTCCTCCGACGGAGGCCACTCAGTTGTTCTTAGTTGGGGCGGCGGGCATTGCTAATGCCCATGGATAATTCTGCTCCCCTTTATTACAGTTTACTCATTGGAGGTATATACATTCAATTCAACTCATTTCGCGAGGTGAAACGCGTAAAAAGCACGAGTGACGCAATTTTCGTGATGCAAAACCTCGACGCACAAAACGTGCGCTACCGTAATCCCAAATTCAGACACCGCGTTGATAAAATTCCTTTTTCCTTCCAAGAGTTTTTCCTCTGCGTTTTTGTTGTTTTTTGTATTCTTTTTTTGCACTGGATGATATCAACTACTGCGAGATGTGATAGAGAGATTTGTGAGCTAGGGGTTGCACAGAGACCGCAGGGAGGTGTGACTGTGAGGGAGCGATTTTGTTTATGTTGTTCTGGAGGACGCTTCTTGCCTGTTTTCTTCTTTGGGAGATTACTTATCAGCTACTGTTTCATAATTGGAAAGCAGCTATCCATGAGACTTTTATCGCGGGAGCTGTCTTTAAATGTCGTCCTCAGCCGTGGTTCCTTTATTCGGTCATTGTACAATGTGTGCCACAACTAGTGCCCCAACAAGCTCGTGAAAAAAAGAAACAAAATAGTAAAAGTATAACCATGGGAAGATACTTCATCATCTTATCGACACAGTCTTATTACAGAATGTGTACTCGCTTCACTTCCTTCTTGAGCTCCGAAGAGGCCTTCGAACGAGATGCGAGTAGTAGTCTGGCACGACTGAGTGAGATTTTGTTGTAACCTTTTAGCAGGGTCTTCTGGACAACGTGGATCACCCGAGCCACGTTTGATTTCATTTAGGTCATCTCAGTCAAACACGTGAATACAGAGAATGGCAGGAAGGCAAAGGGCTAGGTACGCATACTATCAGAGCACGATATCACTGACATGTACGTATAGTACCTTGCCAGAGAACCACAGGCACCTCTCATGCATCCCCTTAAAGGCAAAGACTGCGATCGTCGCCGTCACAGATAGCGAATTAGAGGTTTGCATATAGGCGACAACGTGTTGAGTAACTCGATAGCAAAGAAAAAAAGCAGAAAAACATGCCGACTGACCTCAAGGAACCTCATTCCAATCCCAGTTTGCACGTGCCCATGTGACTTCATCTCCAACACTACGCCCCCATCCGCACAACTGATTCCCGATAAGAACTCTACGACCGTACAAGTGACGATTTTCATGCTTTTTCGTCCTGCAGCTTCGTTTCGACTGGAAAGCGGCTCTGAAGGCGGTTTCTGGAGGCGGAGTCACTGGAAAAAGGAGGAGTCGCTGGACCTATACTGCGCTATCCCTAGCTACGCCATATTTTCAACTTCTATACCTGATCGCGGACCGTTCCCAAAGGCAGCTCCCGCGCTTGAGCAACTCGTAGGCATCTTTCCATGTACAATAGTCCCTCAATCTCTTGGATGATCACTTTCGAAGCTTCACAGTAAGTGATGAAGGCGCTGTGGCTCTCACGAACGGCATCTTTGGTTGCCTCGCCCATCGGAACTCTGAGGCTATTTCCTTTCTCAAGTGCACTTAAACCACATCTGCTGTTTGTTCCGTTATTGATATTCTTAGTATTGAATGACACGAACAAATGATTATGGAGTTAGAGTTGGCAGGATATTGTTCAGCTGGTATAAATGGAGCAAGTCCCGAGAACTCGCCCAGAAATACCACGGTCTCGATGGGCGATTTGACGGGAGTGGACTGCCGGTAGAAGACGAAGATGATGAGATAGTGTTTATTGCATACAACCGACTCCTTTATGGGGCTATCACAACACTCACTATCACTCTGGTTTTGTTGTTCATGCCCTTCTTCAAATAACGCCAGTCGGTTCGGTAGGATTCATAGGGGAATCTCTATACTTCTTGGGGTTGAGCCAGTGATTTTTTTCCGCTTATTTCTTCCTTGGATCGTCATTTAGCGACTGTAAGCTTGTAATTGGGCGCCAATATCAACAATATACGGTCATGGGGTTTGTCTTTGATAAACTGACTTGGTATCAGTTTTCCCTTTTCTGGACGAAATGCGATCAGTGATGAAATATTTCCTGAGAACGAGACGAGGTATTTTGCAAAAGCGAACCTCCAGTAGAACCAAGGCAGTTGTACATGTTGCTCGTGATAGTCCGACCGAAAAACATATCACCGACTTAACCAAGACATCACAGGGATCGAGTATAGTAATGTACCGGTACAGTTGCGTTCCCTTAAAGGAGTTCAGTACGAAAAAATGATTACTCAGGGACACAACTATGTATAAAATTCTTGAACGTATATAACATGACATCTATAATGGCGTTTCTAATGCTATTCCAGTCAGCGAAGAGGATACCTCGTAGTATTTACAACACCAGTTTGGTTGACCCGCACTACTGCGCGTCGAACTATGGTACTGATCACTGGCAGTATTTCTGTGCTGACCCCAAACATTGAAATACGGCTAATTTCATCATATTTCACCTTTTTAATGAACATTTGCCAATGTCTGATGCTTATCACATTTCTAAAAACACCCACCATTCGCTGGAAATAGGACAGCTCAGCGGTTGAAAGAATTTTGATGGTAACAATATCGAGATCATAGTGAAATGTCCTTCACCTAGTACTCCGTTGAGCAGCTTTTACATATCAGTCTGTTGTGGCTCTTATCATTCCTCAGTGGCTAACAACTCCAGGCTTTTACTTTTTGTTGGGACTAGAGAATTTTAGCGGTTGGATCAATCATGCCTATATCGCTAAAGGATAATAGAAACTGCTCATCGATCCTTTAACCATTGATTTTTGGATCACGGTGGCCAAGCTCAATTGCAAGCAGAGACGGGGGGCGAATCATACTTGATCTTGTAAGGCTCTTGTGGCACTATCTCAGTCACACACTTGTGTGTAATCACTGAAATCTTCCACCATGTTCCCTATCACCTCCGAATCACTTGCTGGAGAGCAGCTTCCCAGCGTTGTTAGGACTCGTGCTATGAAGGGCTATGGTGTTTTATCAGCTATTATCTATATTGCCGATAACGTTCCCATCCTGCCCCTTATATTCCTTGGAAGCAACGTCCTACCGTCTGTCCGCACGTTGTCAAGTTGGTGACCTTCCCCTTGCAAGGCTCCTTATGGTATCTTGTTAGCAGTTATCACTTCATGTCCCTCACGAGTAATGTTCCCATCTGCTCCCTATCTTACTTCTTGGAAGCAACCTCCCACCGTTGCTGTGGCCCGGGCTATGAATTTGGTGACCCTCCCCTTCTGACGACGCCGCCCTGTGGTATCTTTATCCTCTTATCAGTTTCGCTGCCGCCTGCAATTGTGTTCCTCGCCGATCTGCTCCCCCCCCCCCTGCCTTCCCCCGCCCAAACAACTTATCAGTTTTTAGCGGCTGTATCGCTGTTTCGAAGGACTTATGAGTCCCTTTGCAACACACACTAACACATCACATGCAGACACAGCCGGCACCAACAGGCAAACTTAGCAGATTATAGGTAGTAGGATTGCTTTTATACTTCTTACCTAGAGAGGGGTAGGCGTGGCATTCTACACAGCATTGAATGGGTTATTTGTGGTATTATTCGGCCATTGAATGGGTTATTTGTGGTATTATTCGCCCTATTTAGCTATTACTACCCCGAGGTCTCACCGGGAAGGTCGCCAACTTACCATGGAACTTTAAAAGGAGACCTAGGTGGATTGATAGAGTCTATAAGGCTATTAACAAATATAGATAGCAAAACTGCAACGTGCATTCCACAAGGAAGTTATGAGCAGGTAAAGTTTGTAATGGTGTAGTCGGGTGGAGGCTCGGTGATAGCAGCTACGAAGGATAATCGAGGAATTGCTCACAACAGATCGAGTCGCGGTGGCTCAGTGGCAAGGTTCTCGCTTCAAAGTCACATGATGCTGTTTCGATTCCTGGCGGCGCTCTAGTTTTTGCACTCCTTATTCTTCTACCTGATTTTTTGACCTGCGTACGAGTTAACACTTGGCCATCGTTTAATTCACGTTCTCGGCCTCTATTTACTGCGGAATCGGGAGCATGGAAGTTTCTCTGCTTCCTTGTTTTTCACCTACTTATTCGACACCACCAACTTGGCGACTTTGTAAAGCAAAGTTGTGCAGATGGTAATTCGGTCAGTGCCGATTGATCTAACCTCGATGGCGCGCGTGGCATTGATTTAGCATCAGTCGCCATGCCTTTCTCTCCAGCAAAAGTTTTCCATACTGGTAGCAAAGGTAGTTTTCTGAAATACTCGTGGTACAAAGCGGGGGCACTGTTGAACCACTCCTACTCAAAACCAAAAAAATTTTTTCGCTGAAACGTTGCCTAAAGATGTAATTCGATGCGCTGATCACGAATATCACAGCCGTTTCGAGCGCTGGCATCATTTGGCGCCATATGCGCCAGTTTGGCGCCCGCCACTTTTTTCACCAAATTCGATGAAAACTTGCACATGGTGGTTAATCAACATCCTGATCACGGATATCACATTGGCGCCAAAAATAAATATTGGATTCGTGATCAGGAATGTTGATTAACCACCATGTGCAAGTTTTCATCGAATTTGGTGAAAAAAGTGGTGGGCGCCAAATTGGCGCATATGGCGCCAAATGATGCGAGCGCTCGAAACGGCTGTGATATTCGTGATCAGCGCATCAAATTACATCTTTAGGCAACGTTTTAGCGAAAAAATTTTTTTGAGTTTTTTTGGGGTAGGAGTGGTTCAACAGTGTGCCCCCGCTTCTGTAACAACGAGTAGTTCAGAAAACTACCTTTGGCTACCAGTAATGGAAATTTGCTGAGACGAAAGGCTGGCGACTGATGCTAAAATCAATTGCCACGCGCGCCATCGAGGTGATCATCGCAGCCCTGACGCGATTCCATCTGGCCAACTGCTACTAAAGTCGCCAAGTTTGGTGGGTGTCGAATAATTAGGTGAAAACAATGAGAGCAGAAACTTCCATGCTCCCGGTTCCGCAGTAAATAGAGGCCGAGAACGTGAAACAAACGATGGCCAAGTGTTAACTCGTACGCAGGTCAAAAATCAGGTAGAAATAGGAGTGCAAAAACTTGAGCGCCTCCAGGAATCGAACCAGCATCATGTGACTTTGAAGCGAGAACCTTACCACTGAACCACCGCGACTCGATCTGTTGTGAGCAATTCCTCGATTATCCTTCGTAGCTGCTATCACCTGAGCGCTCCAACCGACTACAGCCCACTTGCAAAGCTTTACCTCGCTCCCATAACTTCTTGTGGAATGGCACGTTTGGCAGTTTGGCTATCTATTATTTGTAATCAGCCTTATAGACTCTAATCAATCGCTACGGCTAGGTCTCCCTTTTAAAGGTTCCATGGTAAAGTTGGCCGGCCTTCCCTGGTTCAAGAAGCATTTTCTCGGTGAATTTCGCTCATAAGGGTAACTCGATGTCCTCTATCACGAGCATGACATTCGTTTTTTCGACGCTGAAAATTATATACTAGTCATTAATTCGATCACTTCTCACGGGAATCGGTGTAAACTTGGCATACCTTGCCAACATTTGGAAGCTTTAGCAGAGCGCAGATGACCATAGCGTTCCCTGTTAGCGCTAGCGTCAAAAATGTATGTCATATCAGGATGTCAAGTATCCCCGTACACCCCGTATACAAGCTTTCAGCGGATCTGGTGATCTAGGGTATCTTGATGCCGGCGTCAGTGGTGCGGCAGCCAGGCACTACCTGGCAGAGCTGATGCGACACCCGTGTTTAGGAGGTCATACGACCCCTGGGGACAAGTCTTCAGCAGATTCGGTGGTACCTTGCCTGTAGCGCGGAGTCAGGCAGTTCCAGGTTGAGCGGCATGTGATATTCGTACTGAGGAGATCAAACTGCCTGTGGTGATAAGCTTTCTGCGAATTCTGTGGTTTGGGGTCTTCGGCGCTGGCGTGTGTGGCGCGGACGCCAGGCAGCTTCAGACTCAGCGGATATGGTGCTCGTGTTCAGGAAGTCAAAATTCTACCAGAACTAGGCTTTCCAGCACGGCTGCCCCTCAGAAAAAAAAAACATTAGTCAAGAACATCCACATATCCGCCACGTCTAGCTGAAGTTCGCAGCCACGCCTACTATATCTCAGGGTTTTCGAGTGCAGTTAGGGCATGACTTTCTGATGATTCTTGGTAAGTATCCTGACCCAGTTCAACATATTCTTCATTTCCACACAGTGGCGTTTTGAAGCCTACCATAGGGGTTTTCATCTGGTTGAAAAAAGTACAGAAAAACACGGAAAAACTGTTGCTGTGTTTACCAACTTCTCGCGTGAGTTGAAGCGTGCACCCTTAGAAAAGCGCCTTACACCCTAGGAAATATAACTATACGCGCAAGCTTATTCCATCCAACCGATTCACAACCAAAAGGAAGACTATGTACATTATAAACACGGTCCATGCTCACTGTATGGGTGGACATGGTCAACCGCTGCACCCTCATCATCGCGTCCACCACTCCACAGTCTTATAACAAGTAGCACACTAATGAGGAATGCAGAGCTTAACCGGATCCACCAATATGAGCGGCTTCTACGGTGCCTTTGAGGTTACGTTGGAAGTTCCTCGACGAAGAATTCCCTCGGAGAAGGGCATAACAGAAGTGTTGTCCTACTCGCTGGGAGTGACAGCAAAACAAAACTGAAGCATGGGATCATCTATCGCGTACCTGCAATCCTCCAAGTATAATGGAATGCACAACATAGACAGCAAGCATAGCGACAATCAGTATCTGAATCCAATTATTTGTTATTTTACTTTCTTGTCTTTATAATTACTGATTAGAAAAATGAAAGCATATGAAAAGGAGTAAGTGAAGGTTAACATAGGAGCATGATAGAGGCTTGAAACGTGATAAGACCAGTAAATGTTGTAAGAATAATCGTGCGTCAAAATACGTGATATTTTAGGAAAGGATCAGGAGATGCACGTTCTCGCATAGCACGAAAACAAGGGTCTCGCGCTTGTGGCGGAATGATCACTCACTCATCCTCACGCAGCGGCTGTTGTATATGGCACGGGCCTAATTTGTGGCTTTTGGAGCTATGCTTACGCAATGGAGATTCTCTTGGTCCCATATTCTTCAGCTTCGCTCTTACTGTAACCGCGACATGTTAGTTTCAATAATTTAGTATGTTATATTGTGCCTCACGAGGTTTTTAGGTGGAACTATTTATTTAACGGCCTGACGTTTCGACTAATCGTCTTCTTCAGAGGCCTAAAAGTGTTTCGAGGTTAAGAGATGTGCACTACCCCGCCAAGCGCCTAATCCACCCCAGCATTTCCGATGACATAGTGAAACTCAACCGAGAATCTCACACAACAGAACACGAAGGCGCTCACCTTTGGTCTCATCACAAACTTTTGGTCTCACTATGTCATCGCAAATGCTGCGGGTTGGATTAGGCGCTTGGCGGGGTAGTGCACATCTCTTAATCTCGAAACACTTTTAGGCCTCTGAAGAAGACGATTAGTCGAAACGTCAGGCCGTTAATAAATAGTTCCACCTAAAACCTCGTGAGGCACAATATAACATACTGAATTATCTCTGGTCCCACTTTTGGCCCCACATTTTTGTGCCCGCAACCCAAACAAAACACAATATTCCGCAGTTGAACTCTCGCCCAGTCGACTTAAAGGCTGAGCCCGCATTCAAATTTGATGAGTTATGCGGCTCAAATACTTATAACAAGGTAGCAAGTAACCCCTTAGTGAAGAAAAATCAGAAAGAAATCATAGGAAAGGCTCTATATAGAACCCCTTGCTTAAAGGCACTTTCCGCGATAAACTAAGGCCATAGGCTTTAAAATGTGCCAAATGATCCCTCAGGCGATTGTAGGGGCTGTGGCACACCTAAAAACTCAAAAACTGCAGGATTTCGCGGGGAACCCTGCCATTTAGGCCCATTGGCGCCCCCTTACGCCCAAGACGGCCTCCAGAGGCCCATGTCCGTTGTGACGACGCGAAGGTGGCGAGGGCGAAATCCCGCGCATTTGTCGCTTGGAACTTCGTTGTGCTCCATGCGATCAATACCTCATCAGCTGCCATTTTTTATCTTCCTTTCTTCTGGGTATACCATTTCTCTCTTACGGTTTACTGAGCAATTTTTATTGTGTTATATCATTATCATGTGAAAGTTTGTTTCAGTTTTTTTTCGGTAATTTTACTGAACGGGGGTATAACTATGTTAATATTGCAAAACTGCGCTTGTTTTAGGTTACTAAATTACTACAATACAATAGTATCACAATAATATAATTATTACAGAGGAAACCACACTACACAACAGAGAGAAAGAAAAAAACAAGAAAAAAGACGGAAAAG